CTAATCCAAGTCTAAGGTTTCTTGCATCACTACCAAAACTTGGAAATAGACGGTCAAAATTCTTCCATTGGGGAGAGTCAGATGGATGTCGCATTTGCCCATCACATGTTTTTCTCTTTGAATGCCAAATTAAATTTTCAGCATCTTCGTGAGCGTACAACCGCCTAAATCTTGGAATAATTGGAAGATACCATAAAACTTTTGCAGGAGGACGTTTTTTTCCACTCTCCTGACTACAATCATCACCATCCTTCGTTTTGTAACGTGATACACCACATGTTGGACATTGGTCTAAATATGAGAATTCTTTCCTGTATAACACACAATAATTAGGGCAAGCATGTATCTTCCTATATTCTAAACCCATCGGACATAGTATCTTCTTCGCTTCATACATACGGTCCGAGCAAGGTGTTATTGTCCGGGAGCATCTCCTTCAAAAGTTGGAGTAATTCATTAAAACTTGTATCACTCCAACCAAATTTTGCTTTTAGATTGACCAATCTTAACACGGATGACAACCGTGTGAAAGTTGTACATCCGGGATACAAAGGTGTCTCTGAATCGGTCCTCAATGTATCATATATAGATGCATGTGCTTCAAGAAAGCTCTCTTGACCCACATCACAAAGCATGTCCTCTATTCGATCTTCGCAGGTTACATCATCCTCAATAGTTTGTGATACTGTTGGAATATCAATCACTTCACCGTGCCATGTTCATATGGTGTAATTCTTCATCATCCCATCGCAAATAAGATGCTCCCGCGTTGTGTCCATCTCTTGTACTCTGCCATTTACACAATTAACGCATGGGCAGTAGATTTTTCCATTCATTTTGGGAGTATTTTGTTCGGCAAATTTCAAAAAGGAGTCAACTCCATTCTCATACTCTTCTGACATACGACTTGCATTGACCCAAGTTCGATCCATCTAACTACACAAAAAGGTTTGCCTAAATATTCAAGGTTTATTAGAAAAGGTTTAACAAAACAATACAAAAAAAACGTGTACATTGCCTAACAATGCTCTAATGTTCCATACATGCTCTAATGTTCCATATACCACTTCGAAACCTAAACCTAAACCTAAACGAAACCTAATGTTCCATATACCACTTCGAAACCTAAACGAACCTAGATCAAATCAAACCATATATACAAAATCATTCATCATCTTTCTAATGTTCCTACGCAGGAAATGCTCTAAATAATCCATATTTATGTTAAATGCATGCTGTAAATCATCCATACAACTTAATCTAACCCGATGAGAGCGCTGCGAGTGGGCTGCGAAGGGCAGCGAGAGGGCGAGCACTAGCAGTGAGGATCGAGGCAGCAGACCACAGCGAATGAGGTAGCATGCGCGAGTGGGCGGCGAGGGGCGAAGCGAGAGGCGGCGAAGTGGGCGGCGAAGGCGGCGAGGGGGCAGCAGTGAGGACCGAGGCACAGCGAAGAAGAAGCGAAGGAGGGAGTATGTGGGACGAAGAAGAAGCAGACGAGGGGGCAGCGCGCCTAGGAGGAGAGGTATAAAGGACATTCAACGTCGGTTATTAAAAAACCCGACGTGGATAACGCTTTCGACGTCGGGTAAATCATGTAACCGACGTTGATTTTGGGAATTCAACGTCGGTTATACATAACCGACGTTAAATTTAAACATTTAACGTCGTCTGTCATATAACCGATGTTGAATTGCAGTTACTACGTCGGTTATTATATAACCGACGTTAAAGTTTGTTTCATAATTACAAGTTTGCCACCGTGTCTTGTACAACGTCAGTCTTCGTGATAACCCACGTTGGATGTTGTCGTAGAAAGTGTTTTTTGTAGTAGTGGTGGTTGGAAAACTTAAAAGGTTGATTCAAACACACATCACTAATCTTCAATAAGTCCGATAAAGTTTATTAGTCCCATCCCAAACTCATCATTGACATTGTTTATGAGAAATCAATAAATTAAATTTTCATCAGGTTTGGTTAATACCAAACGTCTACATTATATGACTTTCTCAGTACGTTTGATCCATTACACAAGCTTGCAAATTTATTTTGTAACAGAGAAAATTGATGAGTTAAAGCAAAAAAACAACTTTAACCACTTATCGATAATTTGGAATAATGTATCATACAATTGGAACATGAGTTTAGCTGTAATCAAAATAATACATCAACCATATTTGCACACTGCAAGAAACTGTGGTATAATATTACTAGTTTTAATCAAACACGTGTCTTAATTCCTTTAACGTGTGTGAAGATCAATAAGAAATATCTTACCACACTTGTGCATCTGATTTTGAATTAATTATTTTCTAACATCCTTTTGTGGAACATATAGTTATTGTGCAAATTGCGTATTGTTCCTATGCACACAAAATAAGGAGGTTTGGTAAATAACAAGTTTCGTGTTTGTTTTGATGTCTTTTATGTTAGTGACCTTGCAATAATAGTTACCTAACATCTTGTTACAATCACATAAACTCTTACAAACACTATAAAAAAAATTTATGAAGGTTTTATAAGTTCACAAATTACTATATTCAAATAAATTTAGTTTTAACAAATAAATTAAATTAAAGTAAACAAATTATCATCTGTCAAACATATTTTAGATTGATTTATGTAATTTATGATCTATATAAATTTAAATTAGATTTATCCATTTTATAGATCTATATAAACTTAGACTGACTTATTTATTTTATAAAAATTTTAAATAAAAAAAGTAATATTATTTTATTAAAAAATATAAATATATTATAAATTAATTTAATAAAAGAATAATTTATTCTAATAATAAATATTAATATAAATTTTTAATAATTATTTATTCTAAGATCTAATTATTAAGATTTATTTTAAATTAATAAATAATAATAAGGAACAATAATTTTTTTAAAATTGAATAAATATATTGTTTTATAATTTATATATTAAATTATTATATGTTAAAAAAATTTATTTTAATAATAAAATTTAAATTTTAAAAATATATTTTTATTTTTATTTCATTTTTTAATTAATTAAATTTATATAAATATATTAATTTATATTTTTAATTTCAATCATACATCTGTTAACCCGTTAATCTAATCGAGAGTAAGATTAAACTAATTTTGATTTATCTTAAAATATAAAAGTTTTTTTATATTACCTACGAAAATAAGTTTAACTTGATTGGACAATTTATTTTGTCAAGTCTACATACAATTTTGATATCAATTTTTATGAAACATTTTTATAAAATCAACAATTAAAGCACTCCCTAAAAGAAATTTAAAAAATAAATTAAAATTAAGGTTGCAAATAAGAATAATGTATGCATAAAAATAAAGGATGACTAAAATTAATCTAAGACATGTCAATTTTATTTTTAATAACATTTAAAAGAGATAATTTTCTTATGGATCGTGACCCTTACAATTTTCCTGTTATTCCACCTTTATATATTACATGGATCTACTATGGACCAAATGAGAAATCCTAAAAAATATACAAGCCACTATTAAACTAAAAAGTGAGAATAATAATGTTGTTAAAATTCAAGTACAGTGATCCTTATGATATAATAGGGAGAGAGTTTAAATAAAAGATTAAAATTTGCATTTTAGTCTAAAATCAAAATTATAATTGTCCATTTACATTATTATATATTTACAGTTAAGTTTTGTTTTTTTCTTTCATTTATAGTTGAAAAGTTCACACAACTTTAGACTTTTTTTTTTAATTACACATATATTGTTTCTTAATTAATTTTTTATTTTTTTTTTAATTTTATATTTAATTTAAAAATTAATTTTTATTAATGCCCTTAATTTTGATTTGTAATTTATTAATTTTAAGAAACAGTTTATTTTGAAATTAATAATAAATATGTTTTTAATTTGTTTAACACGTGAATTTAAAGAAATTATTTATCTTTCAAAATATTTAAAAAAAATATTAATATAAGTTTCATTACTTAGCTAGATATTTTAAAATCTGTTATATAATAATAATAATATTTAAATATAATAATATTATAATTATATGAACAACATATAAATACTATAACAACAATTTTCAAAATAAACATAATTAAAAACTACCCTTTATATTAAAGTAATAAATATACAAACAACATTCAACCCTACGTTATACATCATAAAAAAAGCTATCTTTTTATAATAATAAAATGATAATGTATTAAATACAATAAGGTTATTTAAAACAGTAATGAAATGTTTATAATATAAATTATATATTACAATTATAACATTTACAAATATAAAATAACTAAAATAACAATATTAACAAATATAATTAATTTTAATAAAATATAAAATAAAAAACATGATTGTAAAATAATATTATATCTCTATATATATTATATAAAAGGGAATATAAACACAATAACAAATTACACATATTAAATAATAATTATTAAAATAATAATAAAATGTATAAATAAAGTTATAAGGTTTTCAAATAACAAAAATATATAAAAAAACAAATATAAACATAAAACTTTTATTGTATAACCAATGAAATAGAAAGTTTGAAAAATTGTATATTTAAATCAAATTATCAAAGATTAAAATGATCTTAAAGTTCAGAGTATCCAAAAACAGATAGTAATTATATCTTAATAATATAAACATAATATAATATCATAAAATATTCAAAATTATGATAAAATATAGATTGATAATTAGAAAGTAATTACTTTCATATATATATATATATATATATATATATATATGTATATATGATATAATAAAATATAATTGTTAAATAAATATAAAAAAATAAATTATTTCAATACTAATATAAAATAATACAAAATCTTAAATAATACAAAATTTGTCGAGGATCAGTCTTTACCATAATCTTAACATACAGGATGAACTCTCTATATATAACAATCCAATTTTCTGATATTTCATTATTTCCCTGTGAGGGTTTTAGGGCACACGCCTGGGGTTTAAGCTTAGGAGAAGAATCTCTACTACTCTCCGACTATGGCGGACGAAGACTATGATGACATGGACATGGGGTTCTTTTTCTTTCTTTTACACTCTCTAGCTCTAATTCACCTGAACAAATGCACCCACGGACAAATTAAGATTTTTCCTAATTCAATTTACCCATAAAAATTAGGGTTTAGAATGAACTCTAGTTTTTTTTTATGTGAATATTAAAGCAAAATATAAGCTTTTGAATTCTTCATAGAGTTTGATGATCACTTTTTGCCTAACAAATGTATTTCGTTCTTCAATTGTTAGTGTTAGAGCAGTGTTCTGTATTATATATATTTCCATTGAATGATTTCTCATGGATTAAAGTGTGCTGATGCAGGTACGAGGATGAGCCACCAGAACAACAAATTGAGGTCTAGAATTTTGTCTTGTGTCATTTTTTGTATGATCGGACAAGTACATGTTCTTGGATGAGTTGATAGAATTATTAATTGGTGGGTTGATTGATATGCAGGAAGGCGCAGAGGAGGATCTGGAAAACAACAAAACCGACGATTTAACTGGAGATTCTATTGACATTGAGGATAAGGAAGAGGGACAACCAGATGAGCGTTCAAGAAAGACCTCGAAGTATATGACTAAGTATGAACGAGCTAGGATTTTGGGTACCCGTGCACTTCAAATCAGGTTTGGTTCAGGATTTTCTGAGTTTAAGATTCTGCTCATTGGTTGTTTCTAAAATGTTATTTTTTTTTCTGGCCCAACAGTATGAATGCACCTGTCATGGTTGAGTTAGAGGGTGAAACTGATCCACTTGAGGTAATATATTCCCTTGCTCTCTTTACAATTTGATAATTTGTTTTTGTTAATATATGTCAGTTTGGCCATATGCCCATATAGTTGGAAATATCTTTCTTTTATTAAGGGAAACAATTTCTATATTCATGCATTGTTGATATATGTCAGTTTGACCATATGCCCATATGGTTGAAAATATCTCTCTTTTATTAAGGGAAACAGTTTATGCAGTCATTCATACATTGGAACTAAGAAAATGATTTATTGAAGATCTTAAATTATTTTTTTGAATGTGATTTATTCTAGGTCTTTAATTAGTTCTTTGCCTCTTGAGATCCTGCACATTCATCTTTAGAAATGTAAAAAATATTTAATATCTACTAACATTCTTGATGGAAAAGTCTTAACCTTCTACTATAAGATGGTGAGAGAGTAATGAAAACAGAGTAGCAAAGAAAGTCAACCCTTACTCTAACTTGATTCCTTAATTGAATGGTTGGTGTGCATGGCAGGCACATTATTAATGTAGACTTATATTTTGAAATTTGGTTTATACCTCACTCTGCAGTTGTGACTCTTTATCTGCACAATCTCTATGGACTATAAGAGTTAAAAAGTGTATCTGTAGGTGTAGTGTAGGAACTGAAATGAAAAGATTGTGCAGGTATAGAAATCAAACGAAAAATTAAATCTTAATATTTGAACTTCATGTCATTTTTTTTAACTATGTAACATAAGTTTATCAACATTATTGTCCCTTAGATGAGCAGTTTACCTTATGATTAAATTGTTTTGTTACTATTTTTTGATTCTCAAGTTCTTTGGTTTCCTGAAAAGTGCACTGTGCACACCATTCTAGAAATAAGTTGACTGGTATAGTCTTTGATTTTTATAGACAGATAAGAACCTGGTCACATATTACCCAATATCACCTATTTTACAGCTTACTTCTTGAGCAGTTTACTTGCATTCAATATGTCACTGAAACATTTTTATGCCAATTATCCCAAATGTTTGATTCCTGCATTGTACATGTTTTGTTTGTTAGTGCTGCTTTATAACATACAACATCTTGTTCTCCCAACTTTTCAGATTGCTATGAAGGAGCTTCGAGAGCAGAAAATACCCTTTACAATCCGGCGCTACTTGCCAGATGGAAGGTAAATACTGTTATGTCCATCATACAAGTTAGGTAGTTCATTTTTCTTGGCCGGTCGAGGCTAAGGTTGATAACATCTTTTATGCTATACTTATTGTTACTGTGTTTCACAAATTCTGCAGCTACGAGGATTGGGGGGTTGATGAACTGATTGTGGAAGACTCCTGGAAGAGGCAAGTGGGTGGTGATTAATGGTTGAACTGACAGAGATGTGGGGAGGAGTAACAGACTAAATTTTGTGTCCTCATAACTTTTTAACTTTGTATCTTTGATTTGTCTGAGGTTGATAGTTGATACTGCTGATATATGTGATTCCACCCACCATAAAAACTTGACTTACAATTAGTTTTTGGGTTCCTACATCTCTGTTGCTTGTACTTTTAAGCTTGTTATATATATATATATGTATATATATATATATATATATATATATATATATATATATATATATATATATATATATATATATATATATATATATATATATATCTGATACTGCTGATATATGTGATTCCACCCACCATAAAAACTTGACTTACAATTAGTTTTTGGGTTCCTACATCTCTGTTGCTTGTACTTTTAAGCTTGTTATATATATATATATGTATATATATATATATATATATATCTGTGAACGTCTGGATAAACAGAATTAACGGACAGTTATCCAGGGAAGGTTTTATAATCAAACTAGTCAATGAATATGTAAAAATAAATATTGATATAATTGATTGGAGGCAAATTAAAAAATTATTACTTTATTGAAATAAAAAAAATACCAATGAATTTGATTTTCTTTTAAATACTAAAACCGTCATATTTTATGACAGAGAATATATAATTTGAGTGGAGAAAAGTGATAGAAATATGGGTTGCTCACGCACTGAGTGAACGCATATTGAGCATCTTGGGCTTTTGGGCCGTTAGTATCGAGTATGCTTTGAATCAGAAATAACAATTCTATAGTCAAGTAACACATCGCTGATAGCAATCTCTTCAACTGTCCAGAGAACAATGTATGACTCGAGCTTTTCCAACAGAAGGGTTACTGATACTCTCCATGCACGGCCCTGATGGATCGGGAACAATTCATCTAAATCATTATTTGATAATTGTTTTTAAGAATAAATTATTTAAACTTGATCTCATAAAAAAATCGATTCTATAAAAGATCAAATTAATATAATTTGTTGTTGCCTTGTTATTTTAAAATAAGTTTATAAAGAATAAAAAATACAACATCAGGTTAACACATCTCAAACTATAGCTTCAATTTATCTTCGAAATCTACATGGTCTAGTTTCAAAAATTTGAATTCATCATAATCAACTTTACACAAATGCATATTCCATCTTCTACAAGTGGATGGATAGAGTATTTCTACTTTTATGTCAAAATTGAATTCAGACAAGGGAATACGAGAGGTGGTCCTACACGTCGGTGATTCATCGTTGATAACGGTTGGATATGCTTGTTGACATGAAATTTTAAAATATTAAATAATATTAAAATAATTGATTGACCAATTATATTGCGTAAAACTGAAGACAATCCATGAACAAACACGTGACAAATGTTAAAAGATCTTTTTAGTCAAAGCAAAAACTAATGCAATGCAGGCAACACTGCAACAGCTATCATGCTAGCATTTTGTATAACTGTCACCTCAATATATATATTCGAAAGCAAGAAAATTGCATGGAAATTATTGGCGATTTAGTTTATGATTAGATTTCGTTTTCACATATTTAATTATTGTGCCATGGCCTTGAGCCTCTTGACCCACAAGTCATTATGATAAGTGACAAGTTGATAACTACAACCATACTCTTTATTAGTGACAGAATTCTTTATATGGTAGGACAAGGGATGATAAAAGGTCACAATTGTCTCAATTTCAGTTGAGAGGAATTCAGCTATCACCCTTTCTCTTTTGTATATGTATTACAGGAATGTTATCTTCTAGCAGATAGCTAGGGATATATTTTTTGAGGAATAAAGATTTCTGAAGTGAATTTTAAGATACAAATGAAATTTATGGGAGAATCGGTCTTAGGCCGGTGAGATCAATATGTTATAGATATAATAATACTTTAAAGGTTGGAGCCATATTACAGGTTTTAGAGTGTAATATTGCTACTGAATATACATTTAATTCGGTGCAATTGTTTGAAAGATGCCGCAATGAACTGTTGTTTCTGTTATGTTTTTTTTTTTTCTTCCAAATCTTTAGCTGACTACGGCTAATTAATTATTAGGATAAAATAGGCTGATTTATATTTGTTTGGCTTTTATAGTTGAATTCGAATTTGATATGCATCTGTGTATAGATGTATTGTTGTATTAATTAGAGTAAATGCAATCCCACAAACAAAAGTCACTCGCCATTTCTTAAGCAGGACTCAGTTTTATTGTTGAGCGATGCTCTTCAATTTTGAAGTATCGTCAAACCATCAAGGTTTTCTGATGTTTTGGTTATTATTGCTTGGGTTGACACCTAGCCAGAAGAAAATGAATGAAGATTGGTAACATATGCATTATATATGGTAGGGTCTGTATACTAATTTTAGTGGTTTGAAAACCAATAATGGACAAAAACCAAATTGTGAGTGAACAGTTGATATTGCTGTCATATTTTGACTATTGTTTAAAGTAGTTTCTGGTAGGTCATTCGATTTTATTTTCTAAACAATAAGTATCAGCCAAGGGAAGTTACCACAATTTTACTGTGTCACTTCCAGCAGATAGTTTCTTTCTCATCTAAACAGATAACATAAACTATTAGAAAGCTTTTTCTAATTACTTGAACAGAACTCTATAATCTTACATATAACAATATTTCTTTCTTCATGCGAATTTGAGAGAAATATACGTTTAAGAACCGTGTTTCTAGCCTGCGACTTATTTTCTCATTTAAATTTCCTAAATGCATGGACAACACTATATCCTCAAAATAGTTGTTTACGAGGATTTTCTATTTGTGATTGGCATTGGGGTGATGGTTTTAGGAAACAATTCAAAATATAAAATATCTTTATTTTGACTTGTTAACTAGGTGAAATTCATGTGATATAAAATATGTGATTGACCTTTATTTGGACAAACATTCCATGGACATAGCTAGAGATGGTCCTCATTAGTTTCATAAAGGAGATGTAATGGTTTGGGAAGCCAAATTACATTGCGTTTTTGTTTGTTGAAAATATGTGTTTTCTTGGGCACAACTCTTTTACCTTGTAAAAGGGTTCATCTTAAAGATTCCCACTGTGATAAAGCAACAAAAGGATCTTTTGACTTAGGGCACATTCATTATTGATGTTTCAGTTCAATGCTAGTGTCAATTACATGTGTTAGAAAAATGAAAAAAGATATGGGTTGTATGAACAAGATCCAAAATTCCAAAGGAAATAAGAAAAAAAGACAAGTTAACATGTTGCTGTCCCCACAGTTTCAAGTTTTACTTTATATATTCACAAAGAAATGTTTACGACCACATGTGGAAGAGTCAATATCGATGACTATTGGTAAGAAATCATAATCGACCATATGTGAGTGCTTGCAAATTTGAAATTCCTGCTAACAGTTACCACATTAATTTAGTCTTTCATTAAAATAAAAACTTAAAACACACAAAACATAATTATACGGTAATTTATATTTCCAAATGTCACCTAATTTTAGTAGTGGGCGCGGATACATTATCCGTTTTTAAAAGAAAAAAACGGACAACACTTATTATTAAGCTAATTAAAAATAATTTGGCTTAACTTGATTCTAAATTTAATTTATATTAAGAAACAAAATCATTATACAGAAAATGTCTAAAAAAATATTTTACTAATTAATACGAGATCTCAAAATATCATTTCACTAGTATTTTTCTTCTTACAAACTCACAAGAAACAAGACTTTGTGGGCTTTTCTAGTAATTCAACGGATGAAGTTTGAACGTCCTAATTTTCATTTTGATTCTTAATAATTTGACAACAATGGTCACAATATAAAACATGTTATTAAATTTATATAAGAAAATTATATTAATCACATGGTGCTGATGACTTATAAAATATTCCCTAATTTGAAGAAAAAAAAAGATGAGTAACCACGTGATTCTCCATTTGCCAGCTACCTTCACGATCAACATCATTCATTGGATACCATTCTCATCTTGTAATTTATGTAATGGACATGACAAGAAACCAGATCTTTGTATGAGTTGCATCCGCTTTAGAAAACAGGGTAAGTAGATCATGCTTCAATCTCTGATCTAAGATTATTAAATGGGATTTAATATCTCCAACTACTGTACATGGGAAGAAATAGTTATGTCGGTCAAGAGAAGAATCTTAATAGGCTTCATTGGAAATTAAGAAGAGAAAAGAATGTTGTCAAAGTTTAATATTTTGCTGCTATTCTTGGGAGGCTTTGGAATTGTGGATCTGAACCACCATGTCTGCGTGGTGAAACATTCTCAAAGTTTAATTTTTGAAAACAACGTTCATTACCCCAACATTACGAATGAAACATTTTGGGTGGGTGCATGCAAAGCCTGCTTCTTTTGCTTTCGGTCATATCATGATCAAGAACATAAAAATTCTTCTTTTCCAATGAAAAAGGTTCAACACCTTTAACTGTTATATCTTTGAAATCTTAAATCTGTTAAGCTGACTCTAGAAAATTCCCGAATAAGCGAATTCAATAGTTAAATAAGAATTGTTGTGGAGGATTAAAAGATGATTCACAACTTACCAAACTTGGTTCTAATCTGTTTAAGTTCCAATTTGTTGGACTGTTAAACATTTATTCTTAATCAACAAAATTAATTCCTCATGTGAATTTAAATTCCTTAGGACAGGGAGCATTTAATGGTAGTGCTTTGTTAGGTTTATGCATCTTATATCACATTTGTTTCTTTCAGGAGGTAGGGATGACAATTGGGGACCGACCCGTCCCTGTCTCGAGTTTGACAGAGAAAATCCGAGTTGATCGGGGATGCGGGCGAGTTCGAGTTTTCCCCGCTTTAAAAAGTCGGGGACGGGGGCAGTGATGGGTAATGCAATCCCCACCCCGTCCCGTCCCGACTTTATATTTAAATTTAAATTTTAAAATATTATTATTTTAAAAGTATTTCCTTTTCTTTTTCTATTACATATAAGGTCATTTTTTTATATTTCACCAATTTTTTTTTCTTCTATCCACTTTTTAATTTTTTTGTCTTTTTTAATCTTTTATATCAATTAATTTATTACATTATTCTTTCACTTACCTTTCAGTTTTTCACATCTTCTTAATCTCTCCCATCAATTTGTTTTTTTTTTTCAATCTTTTCAACCAATTTGATAAACACAAAGTTAACTTTTTTTATTTTTTATCTTTTTCTAAATATTTTACATAAATCGAGTAGTAACTAATATTATTTTATTTATAATTTATATTTATTAGGTTTTATTATGTCATATTTTTTTATCTTATTATTCTTATTTATCATATATCAAATTTTATCTTAATAAAATAATTGTATTTTAAAAGATTAAAGGAATTGATAATTTAAATTTTTATTACTTCGAACTAATTGAATAAGAATTAACTTATTAAATATTTCCTTATAAACTATATATTTCATATTTTTAAATGACAACTTAAAAATGAATTAACACACACATATATATATATATATATAATCAAATGTTTGAATACAGTATTATAATAATAGTGTTATAAATATTCAAATATTTGAATACAGATATTATAATTATAATAATATTATAAATAAAAAATGATTAAATATTTCTTTTACATACATATTTTAATATAAATATAATAAATTAAAATGTATATTTAATTAATAATAATTATAAATTATAAATATTTATTTATATATAAAAAATAGATAGAAAAATTAATTTATTATAAATGTAATTATCTTTTTAAAAATAATATAAATCGGGGACGTGGCGGGAACTCGAAACCCAGCAGAGACGGGGATGAGGACTTAATTTCTAACCCCAACGAGAATCGGGACGAGAATGAGAATGGTTAAAAAAGTTGGGGACGGGGATCGAGGAGGCAAAACCCGCCCCGCCCACCTGCCCCACCCCGCCCCACCCCGCCATGCCTGCTACTAATTATTGTTGTATAAAAAATTATTATTCGAATTCATACATCACCTTTATCACATTAATGGTATAGTTTAAATATTTTTTACACTATTTTATATATTATTAATTAATTTTATATTAGAATTTTAATATTTCTTGAGATTTAAAGTTTTCAAATTACTTCATGTCAGTAATATTTAAATATTATTAAATTTTTTATATTAAAATTAAAAAAATATTATTTTATGAATGTTATGAAACATTATTACGGTTATTCTTTGATATCTTTATAGAGAGTTTTTGTTTTTGTTACAAGTGTTATTTTACAAAAATTTAAAAAATATTTAAAACATTAATTTTGAATTTTTTATTAAAAAATAAAAAAATAATGACCTAACTTTAAATTACTACATTGCATTGGACTAAGTTATTAAATAAAATAAACAAATCTAATTCAACTCTCAAAAGAAAATAATTAAATTATATTAAAAATTAAAATAAATATAATTTTACCTTATCACTTATATACCTCCTATTGACAATTAAAAATTATGCGAACCTCTATTCTAATTTTCTTCGTTAAATTTGTACACTACTTTAGATAACTAAAGGAAAAAACTTTAATTGTATATGGGTATTGTATTTATTTATAACAAAAATGATTAATAAAAAATTGAAGCTAATTGACTCTAACATCCTAACAAAAAGTATAAATTATTGAATTATTAACCATATAATTCCCTAATTCAACAATGGATTTTACATTCAGACATTTTTCTTAATTTTTCAAATTTTTGAGTGTTTAATGGTTTTACAATACTCCAACTTTAGCTACTTCAACTTCACACTTCATCTTTTATTGTTCTCTTGAAATCCTCTATCTATGTAATTTTGCTAATAGTTATTAATAGATGTTTCTAGTTTGATTTCAACGTATAAAATTAAATGAGCTAGATCATTTTCATATGTAGTTTCTTCAATATTCTGTCAAATTTTTGTAATTATTATTAGCATAATTGTTTTTCTATAACAAATAGGAATGACAATTAAATTCGTACTCCGTCCCGTCCCCGTCCGGAGTTTGACGGAGAAAAACCAAGTTGAACGGGGTGGGTTCAGGTTTTTCTTGTTTTAAAAAGGCGGGGATGGGTAATGCAATGCTCACCCCAACCTCGTCCCTGCCCCGTTCTCGTCTCGACTTTATATTTAAATTTAAATTTTAAAATATTAATATTTTAAAAGTATTTTATTTTCTTTTTCTATTATATATAAGGTTATTTTTTTTATATTTTACCATTTTTACTTTTCTTCCATCTACTTTTTAATTTTTTTGTCATTTTTAATCTATTATATCAATTAGTTTATTACATTATTCTCTATCTCTTATCTTTCAGTTTTTCACATTTCTTTAATCTCTCCAATCAATTTGTTTTTTTTTCAATTTTTTCAACCAATTTGATGAACATAAAGTTAATTTTTTTTCTTTATCTTTTTCTAAATATTTTACATAAATTTTAATAGTAACTAATATTATTTTATTTATAATTTATATTTATTAGATTTTATTATGTCATATTTTCCGGATCTTATTTGTTATATATCAAATTTTATCTTATAATAGAATAATTATATTTTAAATGATTAAAAATATTGATAATTTACACATTTATTACTTCGAACTAATTAAATAAGAATTAATTTATTAAATATTTTCTTATAAACTATATATTTTATATTTTTAAATGACAACTTAAAAATGAATTAACTTATATTTCATATTTTTAAATGAAAACTTAGTAATTAAATGTTTGAATATATTATAATAATAATAATAATATTATTATTATTATTATTATTATTATAAATATTCAAATGTTTGAATACAATGTTATAATAATAATAATAATAATAATAATAATAATAATAATAATGTTATAAATATTATATATATATATATATATATATAAATAAAAAATGATTAAATATTTATTTTACATAATAAATTAAAATATATATTTAATTAATAATAATTATAAATTATAAAATTATAAATATTTATTTATATATAAAAAAGTACATAATAAAATTAATTTATTATAAATATAATTATCTTTTTAATAATATAGATTGCGTGAGATGAGGCTGGGAAATCCGAAACCCAGTGCGAACGGGGATGAAGACTTAATTTCTAACCGATGGGGATTGGGGAGGCAAAACCTGCTCCTGTCCCGCTCCGTTGTCCTCCATGCTTGTACTCCTTTTTAGAATAAGAAGTTCTTAATAAAACCAGATGAATTTCATCGAAATGTGAACAGTAAGATGATATCAGATGTTATTTCTTGATTTCTTCCTTTATTCCTATGGTGTCCGAACCTTATACTGACTTTCATAATAATCCCTCAAATCTCTTCTTTCTTTTTTTCTTTCAATGAAAACTATACTCTCGTTCTTGTTTCCACCTTGTTGGATGACAAAAATTATTACGTCTGGGCTTGCACCATGAAACTTGCGATCAAATCCAAGAATAAGTTGAAATTCGTCGATGACACTCTCTCCGAACCAGCATCAACCAGTCCTCTTCACGAACCTTAGGATCCTTGCAACACAATGGTTATTTCTTGGATCCAACGATTAATGCATGAAACCATTCTTAAATCCATTCTCTAAATCAAACATGCTTTCGACGTTTAGCAAGATTTGTACCATCGCTTTCATTAAGGAGATATTTTTCTTATTGCAGATTTACAAGAAGATTTATGCAAACTACACTAAGGTACTCTCTCCGTAACTAAATTTTACACATAGTTACGTACTTTTTGGGAGGAAATCGATAATTTTCGTCCCTTTGTTTACCGCACATGTACTATCAAATGTTGTTGTGATATTTTTTATTCTGCTCGATGTTATAAGCAACAAGATTATGTCATTCGATTTCTGAAAGGCCTTAATGATTAGTATAACTCCGTACTATCTCAGATTATGTTAATCGATCATCTTCCTGATATTAACAAAGTTTTTAAAGTGGTTATTCAATAAGAATATCAATTACATTA